TTCGGTGACCGTTATCTCTCTTGGACTTTGCTCTAAGATTAGAATGTCCTGTGCACTCTCCATACAACTGCCTTCCCAGAATCCACTGTGGTAAGTCCTCGATTTGCCGCTTTCCCAGAATCCCAGTGGTGAATATTAATACAATGGCATTCCCTAAACACATAATGAACTTAAACCATAAAGTAGTTATAACAAATGGTTATACCTAGTGTCTTCAGTTGGTCGGACATACTGGGACACTAGCATGGGTGCCAGGTCCTACTCTTGTAGTTACGTAAGAACTATTTGGTATTTTTAGTGTTCAATGCATCTTGGGAAATAAGATTGTCTGCAGATTGACCTCCGGCGATTCTAATTCTGACTGTGAGAGAGACACAGTGTTCACAAAACCAGAGCCAGGATGGAGTTGAGATTCTAGATAAAGTCGAAGAACAAAGAAGCTCTATTGGTCATGTTTATTAATACTCCTACATGAACTCTGTCAAAAGCTAGAGTATCTTGTGGATGGCTTGGTCACACTTCCAGCCGTTGGCAGATAAAAACGATTTGGTTATACAATTGTGCTGGGTTAAAGGTTATGGTGAGGAAGAGGACTGTTTGGATTTTAAAATATCGTTATAATAGAGATATTGTTTTAGCTTGTCTAAATATGAAAATACAACTGTCCTGATTTTAAATATCGTTATAATAGAGATAGTGTTATGGCCTGTCTAAATATGAAAATATGACTGTCCTGATTTTAAATATTGTCATAAGGGAGATATTGGGAGGAGGCGTTGAGCTCTAGGACAGTCAGGGAGGAGGCGTTGAGCTCTAGGGCAGTCAGGGAGGAGGCGTTGAGCTCTAGGGCAGTCAGGACGGAGGTGTTTAGCTCTAGGGCAGTCAGGGAGGAGGTGTTGAGCTCTAGGGCAGTCAGGGAGGAGGTGTTGAGCTCTAGGGCAGTCAGGGAGGAGGTGGTGAGCTCTAGGGCAGTCAGGAGGTGGTGAAGATGACAGGGTTGATTGATGTTTTTTACTGTGTAACATATTAATCAGATACATTGTATGAGTGTGTTTTTGATGAAGGTCTACTCATGAAAGAAGGCTGTCGTATAAATGTCACTAGACAATTGTGTGGTCCCTTTGCCTGGCCCTACTGTATGACCAACAGATAGAGGCACACATAAATACACATTAAACAAATGAGGTGCAGGTGAGAACAATACATTACAAAACCTGGGTTGTGAAGCGATAAACAGAACATCATTTGCTTATAGGGCCGTAATGCCCTGTAATTCCACTAGGGGGCACCATAAAGGGCTAGAGCTCCTGAGATGCAATAAATGTATGAATAACACAATTTGTTCAGCCTTGATAAAAAATAAAGAATTTGTTGATAAATCAGAAATAAAAACGCATTTTTTGGGTGATTTTATTTTTCTTTGTCACATATCTTAAGTACAACATTATATATATATATGTATAATATGTGTATATTGATTTATGTTTTTTACTTTTTGCATATGCCAACACACATCCTGTGTCCACGTTTGCTGTTGTCAGGCATCACAATAGCATTTCAAATGGCTTGCTCAAGGGTACACTGTCAGCCTCTCTTTAGCTTGTTATGTCAGGCATTTGAACTGGCAGGCTCAACACTCCTCTATCGACTAGATTATCTCATTTCCTTCTTTGTTTTTCTCATTAAAACACTGCGGTACACAACACAGCAATTTTGTGGTAACATTTATTAGAAGAGTAATTTCATGTTGGAATTATTGTCCATGTTTCACCATGCAGGCCTATGTGACACTGTTGACTGTTATTTTGAATGGATAAAATATGTTATCACTTATCACATTTAATTGGTGCTGACGCTTGTACCTGGATCTACAACAGTCAGGATGGGATGTAGAAACATGGTGTATAGAATGAACTTCAGTCAAATGATCTAGGATAGATGTTGTATGTCCCTTCTATAGATTACATGTGTATGCTGAGCTCAGACATCCTGTAAGATTTAATATAAATAATGCAAATAAACAACACAATTTATTTCAGAAGATACAAAAAAAATGGAAATGTATGTCCTTATGATACAATGTGTAAATCTGTGTGCCTGCTGTATATCTGAGCGTTTTACTTGGCTTAGGAAAAAAGCTCAAATTCAGTGGCAAAAATCCAGTAACTCCCCCCACCCAAAAAAATAATCGGTTTTCTAGAATTCCCTGCTGTGGGATTAGACAAATTCTCTTTTGATTTCTGGAACTCTTTTTGTGCGAAGATACAGGAATTTTGGCAATATATTTGATTATATTCTACACTGGCTGAGTAAGAAAATGTAGAGCCAGATCTCATCCTCACTCAGTTGATGAGGAATGTACATTAGCTGACGCCAGTCTGATTGCTTGACTTTAACAGGCCAGAAGGAGAACAGATATTTACTGCAAATTGTACAGGCTGCCTTTACATCACTGTCTATGTCACTGAAAAGAGCTTTATTTTGAAAGATTGTCCCTACTTTGTAACGCCCCAATAGGACAGTAGAGGGAGACATTTCCCATGAAAAAGTTACTTAAACTTTGTACTACTCTCCTTCTTCATGACTAAGGGAGAGTTGCCATCACTAATATAAACCATCCCAATTACACATTTAAGTAATTTAATGGCAATTAGTGACATTTGCGTGAGTTGCATTAATATAACTATAACCTCTTATTCATGGATTCATGCCGGTCTGCATTCAAGCATCTTCTTAAATGCTTTCCTGAAGCTGTCATCCAGGAAGGCGTACAGGAAAGGGTTCAGACAGGAGTTTGCGTAGCTCAGGCTGGTGATAAAATAAGATATGCCAATGAGCAGTGGCGTGGTTCTCAGGTCGGTGGTGAGAGCCACGATGGTGCTCAAGTGAAACGGGGTCCAACAGAACAAACACACTGCCAGCACTATAAACACCATAATAGTCACTTTCTTTTTGGCTTTGTCCAGGGCCTTTGCGTTGGAGTTAAGGCGCATGTTCCTCAGTTTGTACAGCATCATGGTGTACAGGATACATATGGTCGACACGGGGATGGCGAACCCGAGGATCAGCGTGTATATCCGGCTGGACTTGAACCACAGACCCTCCGGGTTCGGGAAGCTGAGGACGCAGCTTTTGCGGTCCGGGTCGTCCGGGCTGATGTAGACCGAGGCGAACACGGTGAACGGCATCACGATGAGGATGACCAGGAACCAGACGCACAGGCTCACTGTCTGGGCCGCCCGGTAGGTGCGGTAGGGCATGCGTCTGGAGCGCACGGTGGCCAGGACCACCAGGTACCGGTCAATGCTCATCACTGTTAGGAAATAGATGCTGGAGAAGATGTTGTAGTGGTCTATGCTCAGGATGACCTTACACAGCACCTCTCCAAATGGCCAGTAGTGCAGAAGGTGCTCGGCAATGTTAATGGGCAGCACCAAGGTGAACAGGTCGTCCGCTATGGCCAGGTTTAATATGAACATGTTGGTCACCGTCTTCATTTTGGGCGCTTTCAGGATCACATAGATAACTGCCGTGTTCCCCGTTAACCCCACGGCACAGATAACGGAATAGATCACCGGGAGGACCACGTAGAGGTCTGCGTAAAAGTGGAACTCCTCCGGCGGGGTGCAGTTCAGGTCTGTCCGGTTAGATGCGCTCAGGTAGTCCACGGTTCCGTTACACACAGATGGAGCTGCGCCGCGGAGGCTCGGGGCAGATATATTCTCCATATCCGTTGTCTTCTAAGGGTTTATATCACATAGGACATGTTTTTCCACTGGTCAATAAGCCGTTGTGATGTGTCTGTTGGGCTGATGGATAGATGGACGCGCGGTGCGCATAACGAAGCTGTGAACAAGAAAATAATTTATCAAAAACTCTATTCTATACATGACAACACACATATTACCCCATATACATAAGAAAAGTCAACACATGTATATATTCACTTATAGGGTACAATAATAACACTTTATTGCAGTTTATTCTCACAATAACAACCACCTTCTCAAGGAGATTTGCTCTTTTTTTCCAATATTATAACTGGGACAAACATGCACGTTATTTTACACGGATCAGTACAGAGTTAGGGACTAGACCAGATAAATTAAATAAACCATAAATAACCGCCCCCCTCCCTCTGCTCTGTCCAACCATAGTATTGTCATATACATTATTATTATGCACATCATATTTAACGTAGAACTTCTAATCCTAATGAAGCATTATAGCGTCTTACCGCTGTCATGGAGGATCCCGGTTCCCCCCTCTGCTCTCTGTCTGGGTAAGCAGCTGGACCTGGAGCTGGACCTGGAGCTGGACCTGGAGCTGTCCGCATCCCAACAGGCTGAACTAGGGAAGAACACGGACCAGTGACGTCAGCTCACCAGACACTGTGCAGCACTGAGCGCGTTTGTGAACTAGGTAGTTGTCTGCTTGTGTTCCGAGTTTGAAGTGTTGCCCGTATATCTCTCCTGTAGACAATAATCTGTGTACAGGAGATGTTGTTGTGTTCCAGCACCAACCGTGCCCAATCAAGATGGCTCTCTAATAACTATGTTTTATGTTCCCAAATAGTCTGTGTCTGTTGGCCTTTGCACAAGTACATTTTTAGGCTTCGTCATTGCAAGTTCATACAGTCCTGTGAGACTTCATATAGTGGTGACACGTTGTGGTGGTCTTCTGAACTTTGGTTTGGTCAGCTAATCGTACAGGTTTATCGTGGTGGGGTAGCAAATGAATCTGGTGTGTCTCAATTTGTGTAGCATGTGGCTTGATCGGTGGTTTTGTTCGTGTTATGTGTTTTGCTCTGTTGGGACTGTTCGTGTACGTTTTTAAATGTGTGTCTAAATGCTGCATCTATGGGTCAGAAGAAATGTGTTGTGTGTGTAAACAGGCTTGGCAAAAAAAAATGATTCTAATTGATTCCTGGTGTAAAAACATCCTTATTCATTTAACCTGGTGTGCCGATTGAGAATAAATTCTCATTTGCAATGGCGTCCTGGAGATGCATGGGGATGGAACCCAGGACATCGTACATACAGAACATGCACTCTACCAGTGAGCTACACCAACATGCACTCTACCAGTGAGCTACACCAACATGCACTCTACCAGTGAGCTACACCAACATGCACTCTACCAGTGAGCTACACCAACATGCACTCTACCAGTGAGCTACACCAACATGCACTCTACCAGTGAGCTACACCAACATGCACTCTACCAGTGAGCTACACCAACATGCACTCTACCAGTGAGCTACACCAACATGCACTCTACCAGTGAGCTACACCAACATGCACTCTACCAGTGAGCTACACCAACATGCACTCTACCAGTGAGCTACACCAACATGCACTCTACCAGTGAGCTACACCAACATGCACTCTACCAGTGAGCTACACCAACATGCACTCTACCAGTGAGCTACACCAACATGCACTCTACCAGTGAGCTACACCAACATGCACTCTACCAGTGAGCTACACCAACATGCACTCTACCAGTGAGCTACACCAACATGCACTCTACCAGTGAGCTACACCAACATGCACTCTACCAGTGAGCTACATGCCAACATGCACTCTACCAGTGAGCTACACCAACATGCACTCTACCAGTGAGCTACACCAACATGCACTCTACCAGTGAGCTACACCAACATGCACTCTACCAGTGAGCTACACCAACATGCACTCTACCAGTGAGCTACACCAACATGCACTCTACCAGTGAGCTACACCAATGCATGCACTCTACCAGTGAGCTACACCAACATGCACTCTACCAGTGAGCTACACCAACATGCACTCTACCAGTGAGCTACACCAACATGCACTCTACCAGTGAGCTACACCAACATGCACTCTACCAGTGAGCTACACCAACATGCACTCTACCAGTGAGCTACACCAACATGCACTCTACCAGTGAGCTACACCAACATGCACTCTACCAGTGAGCTACACCAACATGCACTCTACCAGTGAGCTACACCAACATGCACTCTACCAGTGAGCTACACCAACATGCACTCTACCAGTGAGCTACACCAACATGCACTCTACCAGTGAGCTACACCAACATGCACTCTACCAGTGAGCTACACCAACATGCACTCTACCAGTGAGCTACACCAACATGCACTCTACCAGTGAGCTACACCAACATGCACTCTACCAGTGAGCTACACCAACATGCACTCTACCAGTGAGCTACACCAACATGCACTCTACCAGTGAGCTACACCAACATGCACTCTACCAGTGAGCTACACCAACATGCACTCTACCAGTGAGCTACACCAACATGCACTCTACCAGTGAGCTACACCAACATGCACTCTACCAGTGAGCTACACCAACATGCACTCTACCAGTGAGCTACACCAACATGCACTCTACCACTGAGCTACACCACATGCACTCTACCAGTGAGCTACACCAACATGCACTCTACCAGTGAGTTACACCAACATGCACTTTACCACTGAGTTACACCAACGACCTACAACCAAGTCCTCCACCTCCTTACACAGCCTTTGACTTTGAGTATACTACTGTATGTTTTTGTGAATAAGATTGTTTGCTAAATTACTAAAATATCAAGTTTTGGAATTAGTTCAGTGGGCTAACACACTGGTGTAAGTTGTAGCTTAGCATGCCAACACAGCTTCTTGAATTTAGCTTAGCAGGCTAATGCTGTCTAGTAACGCAACTAACTGGGGTTATATTATGGCGTTTGTCAAGGGCTCAGCAAATTATTGTTATTATTATTTTAATATGTGGGATGACAGTTTAAACCAGTTTCCGTTTGGATAATAATATGTTGGTCTGCTGTAGGTTTGGTTCTGCTATATTTTCGCCACATGGCTCTGGAACCCATCTAAAAGTAATCTCAAACCTGTTTATACTAGTGTCAAACTGAGACTGTAGTGTAAGCCAACAAGCTGTTCTTCAAAACATCTTTAAGAGTTTGAGTGATTCAACTCAGTCTTTAAAGAACTGTGGAAACAGAGCCAACAAATTATATTTAGAAAAAATTACCTGGAATATTACCATAGTAGAATAGTAGAATAATAAATTAATCTTTGCCCTGTTCCTGAATATGGCTCTCTTGCCTCTCTTGTCTCTCTTGCCTCTCTTGTCTCTCTTGTCTCTCTTGTCTCTCTTGCCTCTCTTGTCTCTCTTGCCTCTCTTGTCTCTCTTGTCTCTCTTGTCTCTCTTGTCTCTCTTGTCTCTCTTGCCTCTCTTGTCTCTCTTGTCTCTCTTGTCTCTCTTGTCTCTCTTGCCTCTCTTGCCTCTCTTGCCTCTCTTGCCTCTCTTGTCTCTTCTGCCTCTCTTGTCTCTCTTGCCTCTTGTCTCTCTTGTCTCTCTTGTCTCTCTTGTCTCTCTTGTCTCTCTTGTCTCTCTTGCCTCTCTTGTCTCTCTTGTCTCTCTTGTCTCTCTTGCCTCTCTTGTCTCTCTTGTCTCTTTTGCCTCTCTTGTCTCACTTGCTTCCTCAGTGGCTGTCATCTCAACTTTCTACTTCACTTTTCAATAATTTCCTCTCTGTAACCTCTTGCACCTATCCTCCGATCGTCGCCTCCTTTAGTTTTCTCCTGCATCAATAAGGAGATTCGGACGTGTAGAGGATGGTAAAGAGCCAAACTAATACAGGTGGCCAGGAGGTAAAACATCTGACTGGTAACCAAAAGCTGTAAGATTAAATCCCTAAATCTGCAGGGTGAAATGTTGTTGTTCGGTACTTGAGTAAGACAGTTAATCTCAAACCCTCTGAGGGCTTCCAGTGTATCTCCACCTCCATTATAAGTGGTCAGGATGAAAAGCAAATGCTCCGTTATCGGTCTTTCATGTGCGTTAACGTGGCCGTGCAGAGAATAATAAATACCGGTCTCCCAGATACTCTTTGGGATTCCACTTGGAATCAAAACGTCACGTTTGGGCTTTACGTTTACCGTGGAAACCAAACCGGCAGATGTCGGTGTTATATAATGAGATCCTCGGGTGCACATTCCTCTCTCCTCTCTTTACCATGTTCTCCAAATCCAATTGGGTGAGATAGATAGAGGTTACTCCCATCTGACCTTCTCCCTCATCGTGTTCTGAGGAGGCCAGGAGATAAATGTATTCGATACAGGCTTGCCAGGTTTTCTTTTTTTATAGTGTCTACCACACACTCTCTTATATACACTGTGTTCATATATACCATGTGCTCTTATATACTCTGTGCTCTTATATACCCTGTGCTTTTATATACCCTGTGCTCTTATATACCCTGTGCTCTGCTAACTGTGTCCTGATTCCACCCCCCAGGCTAACTGTGTACTGATTCCTCCCCCAGGCTAACTGTGTACTGATTCCTCCCCCAGGTTAACTGTGTACCTATTCCTCCCCAGGCTAACTGTGTACTGATTCCTCCCCAGGCTAACTGTGTACTGATTCCTCCCACAGGCTAACTGTGTCCTGATTCTTCGACAGGGTAACTGTGTACTGATTCCTCCCCCAGGCTAACTGTGTACTGATTCCTCCCCCAGGCTAACTGTGTCCTGGTTCCTCCCCAGGCTAACTGTGTACTGATTCCTCCCCCAGGCTAACTGTGTCCTGATTCCTTCCCAGGCTAACTGTGTACTGATTCCTCCCCCAGGCTAACTGTGTACTGATTCCTCGACAGGCTAACTGTGTACTGATTCCTCCCCCAGGCTAACTGTGTCCTGATTCCTCCCCAGGCTAACTGTGTACTGATTCCTCCCCCAGGCTAACTGTGTACTGATTCCTCCCCCAGGCTAACTGTGTACTGATTCCTCCCCCAGACTAACTGTGTACTGATTCTTTGACAGGCTAACTGTGTACTGATTCCTCCCCAGGCTAACTGTGTACTGATTCCTCCCCAGGCTAACTGTGTACTGATTCCTCCCCAGGCTAACTGTGTACTGATTCCTCCCAGGCTAACTGTGTACTGATTCCTCCCCCAGGCTAACTGTGTACTGATTCCTCCCCCAGGCTAACTGTGTACTGATTCCTCCCCAGGCTAACTGTGTACTGATTCCTCCCACAGGCTAACTGTGTCCTGATTCTTCGACAGGGTAACTGTGTACTGATTCCTCCCCCAGGCTAACTGTGTACTGATTCCTCCCCCAGGCTAACTGTGTCCTGGTTCCTCCCCAGGCTAACTGTGTACTGATTCCTCCCCCAGGCTAACTGTGTCCTGATTCCTTCCCAGGCTAACTGTGTACTGATTCCTCCCCCAGACTAACTGTGTACTGATTCTTTGACAGGCTAACTGTGTACTGATTCCTCCCCAGGCTAACTGTGTACTGATTCCTCCCCAGGCTAACTGTGTACTGATTCCTCCCCAGGCTAACTGTGTACTGATTCCTCCCAGGCTAACTGTGTACTGATTCCTCCCCAGGCTAACTGTGTACTGATTCCTCCCCCAGGCTAACTGTGTACTGATTCCTCCCCCAGGCTAACTGTGTCCTGATTCCTCCCCAGGCTAACTGTGTACTGATTCCTCCCCCAGGCTAACTGTGTCCTGATTCCTCCACAGGCTAACTGTGTACTGATTCCTCCCCCAGGCTAACTGTGTACTGATTCCTCGACAGGCTAACTGTGTACTGATTCCTCCCCCAGGCTAACTGTGTCCTGATTCCTCCCCAGGCTAACTGTGTACTGATTCCTCCCCCAGGCTAACTGTGTACTGATTCCTCCCCCAGGCTAACTGTGTACTGATTCCTCCCCAGGCTAACTGTGTACTGATTCCTCCCCCAGGCTAACTGTGTACTGATTCCTCCCCAGGCTAACTCTGTACTGATTCCTCCCCAGGCTAACTGTGTACTGATTCCTCCCCCAGGCTAACTGTGTCCTGATTCCTCCCCCAGGCTAACTGTGTCCTGATTCCTCCCCAGGCTAACTGTGTACTGATTCCTCCCCCAGGCTAACTGTGTACTGATTCCTCGACAGGCTAACTGTGTACTGATTCCTCCCCCAGGCTAACTTTGTCCTGATTCCTCCCCAGGCTAACTGTGTACTGATTCCTCCCCCAGGCTAACTGTGTACTGATTCCTCCCCAGG